ATTTTATTAAGAAAACAATAGAGTTTAAAAAATAATAATAAATTTTTTTATTGAAAAATAATTTTTTATATTCAAATATGCTATGCTGTGAAGGTTATAATAAACTATTTATTTAAATTTTAATTTTCAACCTTAAATACTGATGACATTTAAAAAAAATAGTTTTAATTATTTTTATAGAGTAAATATTTTAATATTATACTTTTTAAATATAATTTATATTTTTTACTGTTTCTATAAAATACTTTTTAAATATTATTTTATTTGATATTATTTAAAATTAAATTTTTAAATATTAATTAAATATCAATTTAAATATCAAAATTTTATTTAAATATCTCTCCCTCCCCCATCTCTATTTCTAAATCATTTCTCTCTCATATTTCAATAGAACAATCCAAATAATTTGGCACATTTAGAACTCCTCAAATCATTTGGCATATTTAGGACTGTGCCAAACAGTTTGATGAATTTGTACATTTTTAATTATTTAATAATCGCGCTCATGTTAATTACGTTTTAATCAGACTCCTTTTTAAAATTTCTCATATATATGTATTGATTACAAACATACCCTATTTTATTTATTGAATTTGTTTGAAATCATTAATATTCACATGAACTTTGTCTTCTAATAACCAATTTGTAACAAGTGATATCTCAATAAACCATTTCATTGAGCTTGAGAGTGTCAACTCTCATTTAAGTTCCCCTTTTGTAAATATTTGTTTTGTTTATTGATATCATATTTTATCAATAAAAATTTTATAATTTTATTTTGTAAAAATTTTCTTACTATATTGTAAAGTTGTTGCAGAGAAAGTAATTTCTTAAAATTATTATAGATATCAACTTCCTAATATGTAATTTTTTTTAAAATCAGCAAAAAAATAGTGATAAAACAAAAATTATAATTGTGATTTGAAAAGCAAAATAATAAGAGAGATGTCTGGAGCTTCACTTGGGGTGGCTTTCTTAATATTTTCTAAAGCAGCCTTATGGCTTCTAGCACAACTTTCTACTTCAATTTTTTTTTTCCAAAAAAACTTAAATAAAAAGTAATAAAAAAGTTGTTCCAAATAAAACCTGAATCATAGCCTATATTAGAATTCATGATATAAATTATATTAAAATAAACTAAAAAAAATATTAAATTTATTTAAAATTTTATATTATATATGAAAATTTATATTACAATAACCTTAAAGCAAATAAAATCAAATAATTTATATCGGAGTATACAGAACTTTTTTTTCTTCTAAAATATAATGGAAGTCCAATATCTACTATTCATATTAAACATAATTTAAACTAAACTTTCCATAATTTCTTAATAAGCTGTGTTTGCAATTAGAACTTCATCATCTCCTCAAATTCGTTCATGGCCGAGGCTGGGAGTCCGAGAACCATAACGGTGCCCTTACCGCCATTGTTCTCTGGAAGGAGGAGCGCCACCTCCCGGGTAGGGAGCTCCGCCGGTCCGGTCTGAGCCGCGCTGCCCCACCCGAAATCTGTAGCTCCAAACCCAAGCCGTGTCCAGGCTGTCAGCACAAGCGTACCAGCAAGTGACGGCCGAGCTCGGGTCAGCTCAAAATAGTCGACGGCGGACCTAATAGACCGATCCGTTACTTCTCGGGCAGCGGATTGGATTATCCGGACCGCGTGGCTCAGCGGCTTATCAACCAGCTCCCCGGCCGGGCAAATACAGCAGGCGAAGACGATGCCGTTACCAAAGAACCCGGTCGGGAGCGGAGGGTTGAGCCGGTTCCGGCCGTCGACCGCAAATAGAAGCTTGGTTGGATCGGAGGAAGGCGTTTTCAGCGCTTTGGTCCGGGCATGCCAGACCAGACCAGTGAGGGCGGCGAAGCTGGTCGGCGGCGGTGATTCGCCATTGGCTGTAGCGAGAAGCTTGAGGCGAGAGAGTTTATCAGCGTCAAAGGTGAAGCTTTTGTGGATGAGGGGGATGGAGGAGAATGAGTCCGAGGTGGAGAGAGAGCCGGCGAGGTCGGAGAACTCCGGGTGGGGGAATTCTACAGCCGGCGGCCGGCGGGATTTTAAGATGGAGCGGTCGAGAAACGGCGGGAGAGACAGTGGGAGGCCCCGGGCGATTTCGGCCCAGGAATGAAGGAATTCGACCGTGGAGAGGCCGTCGGCCAGGGAGTGGCTCATGGCCATGCCGAGGGCAAAGCCGCCGCATTTGAATCTCGTCACCTAGCAAAATAGTACATTTATTATTTTCTCTTTGATTTATTTGCAAATGTAAGTATAACAGAAATATGCAGAACTTTTAAATTTTATTTTTCTAAATAAGAATTAGATTCATAAATTAAAATTGCTACTCATTTTAATTAAAATACATTTTTTTTACTAAATAAACTCAAATTAATAACTTTTTATGGACACTGAAAACTAAAGTTAATTCCCCCATTCAAAAAAAGAAAAGATTATTCTGTGCGGACATCGGAAGAGAAGAACCATCCTGTTTTGTCTCTGTGAACAATAAAAGCATAATATAAACAGTTGCAGTGTTGTTCACATAGATAAATCGGACAGTTCTCCCCATCATATATCTGCATAGAATAATTCATCCCAAAAAAGTGGTCACTTACATATTTTGATTTTTTTTTAAATTTCAGTAAATTTAATTATAAATTCATGCACATAATATATGATAGGTTTGAATTTAAGACTTTATAATTGAGTCAAAGTACCCAACTTTTCAGCCATATGAACTGCCTAAAAAATTCTGTTAATTTAATATCCACCAAAATATGTTTAGGATAAGACGTACTATTGCAAACTATGACTGTGGATATTGCAAGATAATTTTTTTGCTATAATTGATTATTTGCTCACAAAATAAAAAAAAAATTTCATTGTAAATAAAAACAATTTATCAATAAATGATGGATGGGATTAATTTCATTTCAAATTAAGATTTTACATTTGCCAATTAATGCAATTATTTTATTTCTAATAAAAATTTTATGCAATGAAAACAAAGAGTGTGCTTTATGAACTAAAAACATGAATATTATATTGATTGATTCATAAAATATGAATCACCAAAAGTTATTTACATATAAGTTTTGTAAATATTTAAAAATAAAAAATATTAGAATAGGATTATTTTTATCTAAACTATTAGACATTTATCATTAATTAAACTTTAGACAAAAAAAATTAAATTTGAATAGTTTAGTTCTATTATTTAATAGTTTAATTATATTCATCTAATATTTAATTGCATTAAGCGATACAACAAAGAAATTAAATATATATATAAAATAGCACTATCCTAACAAAATATTTTGATTTTTTTTTCATTTATAGCTGTGACCATTTTTATTGGAATATACTATAAAAATTAATACAATATATAAAATACCTTCCCATCTGGTATAATGTTGTATGATAATTATCTTTAAAATAATTTGTATCTTAATATTTTATTATTTTACTATAAATTTCTTGATAAATTTATAATTTATCTACAAAATTATTTTATGTATTTATAAATTTCTTATTCATCTTTTATTATATTTATTATGCTAATTATATGTACTTTTTTTAATAGTTGTTGCAAATTTATAAAAGTATTTTTATATTTTAATAAATTAAAATCAAATAATTTCATATTATTTAAATATAATAAAAATTTAACGTAATAAGTTTTGGAGGTCAAGAACTGATGTAATTTTATATTTAATATAAATTAAAAATATATTGATTTTGTGCATAGCTCTTCATATTTTATTACCTGGATCGTTAACAGCGGCGTTTCAAATATACTCTCAGCCGGAGGACAATAAATCAACCCTCCCAGCCTGGCCGGCTCCGGCAAAGACACGTCACCCAACTCCTCCATCTCACACTCCGCAGCAGCCTCCACGAACGGCACTCCACCACCGTTCATCCGCACGACGAGCTTCCCTCCCTCGTCCACGCCGAATCGGCCGTCGAAGGGATAGAAATAAACAAGCACCTTTTCCAGCGATGTTCTCAGGACCTCGGCCGCGCGTTCGGTGCTCCGGCGGCCGCTCGCAGGGTAGCAGTATATCGTCTTCATCATGACCACGAGGTTCTGGTCGAGGTTAGATAGGAAGTAGGTGGCGGGGCCGCCCGCAGGAATCTCTCCGGCGGGGTGTAATATCACTGCTGGTGAGCGAATCACTTCGAAGTTGAGTTTATGGTTGGCGTAGCCGTTTTGTACTTCGGCCATGGATCTGAGATTTCCTGACAATGATTATTAAAATAAAGTATTTAAAAATTATCGTAGATTATACTAATTAAAAACATGAAGAAGAAGAAGAAGAAGAAGAAGAAGAAGAAGAGAAAAACTCACTGGGCCTGTCCTTTATCTTCTTCGGATGAGGAAAATATAGAAGGCTTGTGAGGATTATAATTTGCTAGTTGCCTAGTTCTGTGTGCTATTTATATAGACATATTGGTATTTATTAAATATTATGTTAGTTGGCAGGTCAATATAGTCCATTAAGAAGCTTGGGAGCAGACATTTCTGTATGCAATATTGACGTTACTATAGGTAGTCGCTTGATTCGTAGAAGCTTTCAAATTGTCGGCTAAAAATATAAAATAGAGAAGTCTTGTAGATATTCTCTTTAAATTTCTGATTAGGATTATAGCCTTAGGGCATCTCCAACCGAACGGCAAATAAGTGTTTGCGGTTCTTGCTTTGCTCCAACCGATTGCCATTTTTGACGTCATTTGATCGCGGATGAACAGTGCGACGCCAATATTGGCGTTGCACTGTTCATCTGCGCCAATTTTTTCTCTCTACCGAACAGGTAGGGAAGAAAGGCGCGAAAGAAAACGACTGTTTTAGCGTCAAAATGGCGTTGGATTGGAGATGAAAAACGGCATTTTTTGATTTCCCTGCATTTTGGAGTGAAAATGACATTTTCGGTTGGAGATGCCCTTAAAATTATTAAATTTATTTTAAGATGACAATAATATATATTTTTGTTATGTGTTTGAAAATTTACGATAGTAGAATAATTGTATTTTAATTTTGTATAAAGATTTAGCATGCACGAATGGAATTGTAAGAGAAATTAGAGTTTTTAAGTGAAAAAAAAAAAGAGAGGAAACGGTCAAAGTCTAAACCAAGTTGCAATATTGCACTATACAATTAAAAATACAAGGCTTTTCTCTTCTCTATAATTGAAGGAGATGGGAGTATACAATTGAGAACAATAATTATATATCTATTATTGTTTATAAGGATTACAAAAATCATATGTATGTTGGTAGACAATTGAGATTTAACAGTTATGCGATAACAGTCGAATGATGGTATTGATGTTAGTCATCAACAGTGATCGTCAGGTAATGCAGCAGAACTAATAGAGATGATAAGCTCTCTTAGCTCCCACACCTGCTTCAAATAGAAAATGGACCAAGCTTTATTTATATCATTTTTACGAATGATACTTTATAAATAAATTTGGACAGAGAGTTAAAATACTCACACAAACGGTTCATATTGACCCTCTTTGTCATATATTGTTTATTCAATATTTGAGATCATAAATGTAACAATTTGATAATTATGGAAATAAATTTAAAATAAAAAATTGAATTTATTCATGTACTGCAGTGTAACGGCGATGTGTCTGTAAGTGCAGCGGCACCATAAATTGTTGTCGCGGCATTGAAGGTTCTGTTCTACAATAGTTTTGGATTAAGCATATAGCACATCGATGTTAGGTTGGAGAGTAATGATGCTACGCACTTAAATGAGTTTATATATATATATATATATACTGCCCTAATATTCATCCTACTTTATGCGTTCATAAAAATACTGACTCTTTTGTTTGGAAGAGATTGTGCAACATTAAACGGAATGCTGAGAGGCACATTCAGTGGGGTCTTGGAAAAGGTGACATTTTTTT